CATTTTCGTGCGCGATTTCATGCATCGAATTCAGTTCCATGATGAGTGCGCGTATTTGCTTGTCACGTGAAATGACCTTCTGCTCGAGTGCAGTACACTTACGCAATGCTTTTACCAGCCCATCTTCGCCACGTTGATATGCCTCGAGCGCCGAGATGGCGTGCATGGCTTGCTTGGACTTTAGCGCATTATCCTCTTCACTGCGTTCGAGCATCTCAGAGAGCTCGCGACAACGTTCATTGGCCGCCTGTAGAGACTCCTCGATGGTCTTGCAGCAAGCGCGAGTTTTGTTTGGATTGCGCGCCTCCTCCTTTTCAGCAGAGAGTTGGTTCATTAGACGAGTGGAAGACATCATTTCTTCAGCTAAATATTTGATTTTGAGTTCTAGAGATTCGATATGCTTATCACGAGACTCAAGAGCCTGAAATAGAAGAGAGTATGAGTATTGATTCGTTGATTCGTAGATATGGAGGGAAATTTGAAATGAAAATATCATTTGACAACACCGCATATGAAGCCATGGATTCAGCCATATATAGAAGCAATGTAGCTGCTCATATCCGCCGATAGATTAGTGTAATGCTACAAACCAGACGGGCGAAAACGGCAGTAGGAAACCAAGCCGCTGAAGATCGCGAGAGGCTGCCTTCAGGGAGAAGTATACTGTACCTTGTTATGAAGCTTGTTAGTAAATGAACTACTTGAGGTACTATGGGATAATAGACGGCTAGGGGAATTTTTGAAAATACTCTCTGTGACAGTGCCCAAAAAGCACATATATTTACTAAGAGGGGTTGTGGCACGGTGATTCTGAATATAAACCTTGCCAAAGCAGACATCATTATTTTGAAAATGAGAGGAAATTTCGCAGGCACTGGTTGGGTAGGGAAAATAACATACTCTCAAGAGAAATATCTCGGGGCTATATTTGTCTTTAAAATACTATTACGTTGTCACAGTTGTATGAGCTTTAAGAGTGTCCTGAAGACTGACTATCAAATTAGGGCTACTACAGCCCTCTTTATCCTGGGGTGGATGTATACCATGATTTGTGTTTTAAGCGCGATAATGTTTTACTTGAGAAAATGGCCCTAAGTGGATTACTTACCAAGCTTCAGCGGCTGACGAGCACATGACTTTTCCTAACACAGGCTTGGAAGTCATCCTTGACCTGACATGACTGCACAAAGTCATAGGCCGCAAAGAAGGCTCTCTTAAATTCCACGAGAAAGGTCATGGGTAAAGAAGGAGTGAACTAAAGCAGATCTCGATATCCCCGTTCATTACCGATTACATGGCAAAGAGAAAAAAAATCTAAGAACAAGACTATTCTAGAACACATCCAAGGGTCGTACACAGCCGTTATGAAAAGTGACTAACATATAAGGGCAGGAAAATACATAAATTTTCGGAGACATGTAAGATGCCAACACGCTATCAGACTGCACCGTAGGCCAGTCCGACTATATATCGACGGCTGAGTGAAAGATCACCGTATCTCGGTTGCCGGTTCGAAAACACCGTATCTCCGTAAACGGTTCAAGAACGCCCTATCTCCGCTGCCAATATATTGAATTTATATTGAGATAGGGCGTTTGTGAACCGGCAGCCGAGATATGACGATCTTCATGTGTACATATAAATCCTGGAAGATTTGGCAATGTATATATAAATTTAACACCCTAGAGGAACACAACACAGTACAAATGATGTGCGTCCCGCGCTATAATTGTTAGATTTCATTGGGACTATAGGGCTGGACTATGGAACCAAGGTCACAGTGAACGTGCTCTATTTTATCTTTTAATCCCATTATATATTTTTACGTCAAGATAATTATCAGATTTCGTAGTATCTTTAGTCTAAGCCCTTAAGCTGACAGTTAGTTTTCCTCTGAAAGAGACTTGCAGCATTGTCCAAAGTGAAATATGCTGTGGGAAGGTTTCTGTACCAAACACGCCAGCAGAGGTATACGGAATGTCATTATAAAGTAATTTTGTCACAGAGTTCTGACTACCTCCTCAGGTTCGATATTAACTTATGCACTAAGAGTCAGTTTTTTCACCACGTCCGTGCAGGGTTTTATCGAAAGGTTTACATAAAGAGTGTGGAGACGACTTAGTCATAGCCCCAGTACCGGCATAACTTGGTAGTTAGTTTGAAGGAGTTTTACACTTTTTTGCGGTTATTTTTAGTCGTACATATGTGAGATTAACACTCGCAAAATTATGGATACTTTTTTCCGGTAAATAAAGCATAATAATACACTTTTTTTATTATATCTATTATGAATATTATTATATATTGAAGTCCAATCGCTATTCTCTGAATAGTGTGGCCACATACATACGGTGAGTGTCAGTGAAAATCGTATAGTAAAAATTTTCCATTTTTTGAAAATATATATATTTTTTAATTTCATAAATATTAATAAAAATATAGTTCACACTACAAAAAAAAGCTACATATTAAACTGCATACTCGAAATTTTTCTAAAAAGTTTGAAATTTTGGTGAAAAATTTTTGAATTTGAAATTGAAGTGTGAAACTTTGATTTTTGTTATATGTAGAATGAACTATATTTTCATAATGAATATTGCCGTAACTACTGCGCCTAAAAATTGGCTGCAATAGGGCATAAGGCTGTTAAATAAAAAAATTAGTTCTTACATGCAAAAGCTTGGTAGTCTCCTCTTCGTCATCGCTGGCAGTGGCATTCTTGCCCGCACCATCGTTCTCAGCCTGCGTCAAACTCCCTGTGAAACTTATCGGCTCTCCCATTTTTTCGAGCCGTGCGCGCAATTTCTTCACCTCTTTGTCCTTTGCATCCAACATATTTTTCCAAGATTGTGCTTTTGTTT